GGGGGATGTTTACATGGGGACCCCCTGCCCAGCACTGAGAGGCGGCTAGCTCTGGGGTAGGGCGCGGGGGATGTTTACACGGGGACCCCCTGCCCGGCACCGAGAGGTGGCCGGCTCTGGGGTGCGGCACAATGCAGGCCATTGATCCTGGCGTCTGGGAGCTGGAGGGGTTTGGACTCACCACCGGTCCCTGGGCTGGTGGCTGCTGTGAGCCGTGGCCTCAGGGACCCGACCGTGGGGCGCTGCCCGGCCTGCACGGGTCTCCCTGCGGGGGCGGCGGGGGGGTGTCAGTCATTGTCTGCAATCATCCCCCCCACGGGTGAGTGGCTGCACCTGGAACTGCCCCTGGTTGGGGTCAGAGTCTGTCCTGGGGCATGGGGGAGCAGTAGCGTCGGGGGGGCAGGTGTTGGGGGCAGAGTGTGGGGTGGGGGTCAGAGTCTGTCCTGGGGCGTGGGGGGGCAGTAGCGTCGGGGGGGGGGGGGCCCGGGGCCCCCCAGGCTCAGACCCAGCTCCCCGGACTCCGCCCCCCCAGGGGCTCCCCGGGAACCTCCCCCCACGTGGGGCCCAGCCCGGGGGGGACAGCCAGGGGGGCCCCCACCCCAGGGGGCTGCTTGGGCTTCCCGGGGGGGGCAGTGACTGTGGGGCACCAGCCCAGTGACACCCCCCAGACCCAGGGAGGGGCCCTGGGAGCCCTGGGGAGGGACTCACCTTGCGCTGCCCATTGGGTCCCTGGGAGCCACCGCAGCATCCGGAGCTTCCGGCCCCACCAGGGGCATCATTGATGGGGGTGGGGTCAGCAGGGAGACCTCATGTGACCCAGCCACGACCCTGCCCCCCCAGTTCTGCCCCCCCAGCTCTGCCAGTGCCCCTCACTCCTTACCCACAGCCCCTGCCCCCCCCAGCCCTGCCGGTGCCCCTCACTCCCGACCCGCAGCCCCTGCTAGCCCAGCCCTGCCCCCCCCAGCTCTGCCGGTGCCCCTCACTCCCGACCTGGGTGCCGTGAGGCGAATCCGGGGAGTGATGGGGACGGAGCAGGATGGAAACGTCGCTTTTACTTGGCAAAGTGCAAAATATACAAAAAGGAGCCGGGACAGGGGGAGCAGGGACCGAAACACACAACAGGGGAGGTTACAGCATCCCCTGCCAGCCGTTCAGAGACACACACGTCGCACATCCCAGTGTCTCTCTCTCTCACACACACACACACCTTAGCACCCGCACAGCGTCACACACACACACACACACACACACACACACACCAGCACCCGCACAGCGTCTCACACACACACTAGCACCCACACAGCGTCTCTCTCACACACACACACCAGCACCCCGCACAGCGTCACACACACACACACCCCAGCACCCGCACAGCGTCACACACACACACACCCCAGCACCCACACAGCGTCTCTCACACACACCCCAGCACCCCGCACAGCGTCACACACACACACACACACACACCAGCACCCGCACAGCGTCTCACACACACACACACACACACACACACACACACTAGCACCCACACAGCGTCTCTCTCTCACACACACACACACACCTCAGCACCCACACAGCATCTCTCTCTCACACACACCCCAGCACCCCGCACAGCGTCGTGCACACACACAACTAGCTGCAACTGCCCCAGACATACACAGCCGCCTCCCTCCACCCCAAGACACACAAACGCCAGTGTCCCCCAGTGTCCCCTGCCCAGGGTTTCTCTCTGTTTCACACACACAGACACACATGCACATCTAACCCTCCCAGGTCTCATCCTTCCCCACAGGACAGCCCCACGCAGTGGCACAGCCCAGGAGATGCACGCTCGGCCGTACACAAGGATAAAACAAACACACATGCTCCTGTCACACGCACACAGAATCACACCCTGGCGCGCACACTCAGTCACACCTACCACACCCACGGACTCCCTCGCACGCACACCCACGGCCACGCCACACAACGTCTGTTCAATTCGGCGAGATCCGATGGTCCCGACAAACGGCAGCATGAACAAGGGAGAGACGCCAACCCCTCGGCCTTTGGCACGCCTGTGTGCTCACACACACACAGACACACACACACAACTGTGAGCACACGTAATACTACACACCCCTGTAACACTGTCCACCATCCCTCCCTTCTCCAGCAGCTGAGACCCCAGCAGCCTGGCTCCGGGGGAGGGAACCCTGAGAGCTGGGACGCAGGGCCCCGGAGTGCACGGCACAGTAAGCGGGGGGAGTCCATTGGTGTCTCCCCGTGAGCCGAGCGCGGGGGAGACCCTTCAGGCCCCTCCGTGGGCGCCGTGGGACGAGGTGACTGTCTCGGCCTGGGCCCCCCGGGAGGCCCCATTGTCCAGCGCCTGCAGCCCCGAGCCCTGGGGGTCCCTGGAGGCAGCCGGCCGCCCCCAGCAGCACCGGCCGCTGCAGGGCGGGCTCCAGGCGAAGCGCTCGGCCGCACAGTAATAGACCAGCGGGTCCAGGCAGGCGTTGAGGCTGGTCAGGGCCATGGTGACACGCCGGGCGGCGTAGGTGCCGCGGAGGAGCGGGCAGCCCTCCAGCGCCCCCAGGCGCCACAGGGTGTGCACAACCTGGGTGACGTGGTAGGGGGCGAAGCAGAGCAGGAACACGACCAGCACGACCAGCACCGTGCGCAGCGCCTTGCGCCGGGCAGCCCGCGAGCCGGGCGCCATCCCCGGCATCTCCAGCAGCCGGCGGGCGATGAGCGGGTAGCAGACGCCGATGAGCGCCAGCGGCACCAGGAAGCCGACGGCGGCGGCGAAGAGGCTGACGCCCGAGATCCGGCCCTTCCAGGAGTCGCTGGAGAAGTTCTCCAGGCAGGCCAGGCGCCCGTCGGGGAAGGGGCGGGTCAGGGGGCCCCGCAGCATCAGGTACAGCACGGCCGCGGCCAGCAGGGCCCAGACGGCCAGGCAGCTGGCCACGCGGTAGAGGGGCCGGCGCAGACGGAGCGAGCGCAGCGGGTGCACCACGGCCACGTAGCGCTCCAGGCAGATGCAGGTGAGGAAGAGGGAGCTGCCGTACAGGTTGGCGTAGAAGAGGGAGCCGGTGATCTTGCACAGGGCCTCCCCGAACACCCAGTCGTTGCGCAGGGCGTGGTAGGCCACCCGGAAGGGCAGGGTCAGCACGAAGATCAGGTCGAGGGACGCCAGGTTCGCCAGGAAGATGTTGGCCGGGGCGGTGGCCGTCCGGGTGCGCAGGAAGTACCAGAGCACGGAGAGGTTCCCGGCCAGGCCCAGCACGAAGACCAGGCTGTAAACCACGGGGAACAGCACGTACTGGAAGTCGGCCTGTTCCCCGCAGCCCGTCTC